CAGTGCTGTAGGTAGTTGTAGCATTGCAGGGAAACACAGCACGTGAAGTGACTTCATCGATAATACGTGAATTTGACAAATGTCTGTTTAAAAGTATGTTAAATATTAACGTGTGAATTAGGAAATCAGTAAGTGAAATTATTCCTCTGTTGATACTTGTTACACAATTAATCTTTTGTGCTGGTGATTGAACCCAGGGCCTCATGCATTCTACTGAGTTGTACCTCCAGGTTCTATTTTTCCTTTCTTTTCCTTTCCTTTCTTCTCATTGTTTGCCTTGAATGAATTGCTGTCACTCATAAGGCGTGCTTGTCTTTCATGTTCTGAATATGACATAGTTACAATGTTATCAATTAGAACTGATTTTGGGGCAACTGGGGCTATCACCTACTTGTTGCAAGAATTATTTCTTATTCCAAATCCAAATCAATATTTAATAGGATAATACACTTTCATATGATAAATGGCTTTTACCATAATCAACTCAAATATTTAAAAGTAACACTCATCTTTAAAGATTATTACAAAAATGTTATTTAAAGTTAAGAATTTTGTTTACTAGGCCTTCATGAGCTGAAAATTTTGTTATGTCTATTTACTGTTTTATGAGCCTTCAAGTGTCATTGCTATATTCCAGTATGCAAAATTTTGAGAGCTTGGTTCTAAACTGGCTGATGATTTAAGGCAAACAATTATCCTTCACTACATCACCCTCTCACCCATCAACGATGAGGATCTTACAGTCTTAAAGTGAGTCATGTACCCACCAAGCTTGTAGGGAGAAGTTTTGTGTTCTGATTTGCATTGTGTATATTTATTTAATTCAGTAAATGTATATTTATTATAAATTCTAGTATGTCACGACCATATTAAGTTTAGAAACAGGCCAAATTCTACTTTTACACAAATTATCGGCTCAGGGAGGTGATCAAGCAAACAGACATTTCAATAGAGTATGATTAGTCCTCAAGAAATGGTAAGGCAAGACTGCGCTGGAATTCAAAATATGCACCTAACTCAGATGGAGGGATTAAGGGGAAGTCATCTGCCACGGAATTTTTTCAGTAATATTCTGCTATTAAATGCAATTTCACCAAATGAAGAAAAATGTTCTAGGCAGATCAAAAGAAGTGACCTTAAGTTGGTTTTCAGAAGTCCAATACTTAGTGTGGCTTGATCAAGGAGAACAAAACAGTAAATGGAGAAGAGGGGGAAGATATAACCAGAAGTCAGATGCATCTGTAACTCCATAAACCAGGCAAGGGCGAGAGAAGGGACATGGGAAATGACAAGACAGGACATTTGGCTACAGAATTAAAATGATTAAGTGCTGCAGATGAAAATCTGTATCTTCAATGCCATTTTGATGTTCTTAGTAATCATGGGAAGAGAAAGCGTTTGACTGAATTAAAGCACTAGCAGAGTGTATTAATTATATAGCACCATCATAAAACAAGCAACAGGGCAGTTTAAAGTAACAGAAATAAATTATCTTCTGGAGTCCAGAAGTCTGAGATGGAGCTGTTGGCAGGACCACACCTTCTCTGAAGGCAGCAGAGGAAGCTCTGCTGCATGGCTTCCCTAGGCCACATGCACACTTCTGTGTTGTTCTGTTATCTTCCCTCAGTGTACCTGTGTCTCCTCCTCTTTTCAGAGAAACACCATTAAAATGAATTAGGCCCACCCTACTGACCTTCTCTCAGCTTGATTGTACCTTCCAAGTGTCCATTTCCAGATAAGCTTTTCTTGGTAAGCTACTAAGACTTCCTCATTTGTAGGGGAAATTCAGCTCAATGAATAATCTAAAGAAGGCATAAAAGTTAGAGATGTGTGATGTGACTATCAGTGAAGTTAAAGTTGGAAATAAAATAGATACAGAAGATAGCGTGTAAAGACTCAAGTCAGAAACCCAGTTTTGTAAATAGATGGCATCGTGGAAGAAGTGCTTGTATAACAATGAGTAGAACTCTTCGATCAAGATATTCTTAACCTATGTTTGCTTCAAAAGCAAAATATAACATCCTAATATTTGCACACAATTTGGTACATTTTATGTTTTTATGTGTTTAGGTGCATATTTCCTAGAGGTTTATAATAACAGTGACTCAAAACCAAACATTGCATAAAAGCTTTATAATCTTTATTCTGGAGTACACACATAGGAAGAGAGGTGCATACATCATGTTAATTGAACACAAAGTTGTTTTTCTCTCAGTGGACTGTGCGCTGTCTTTGATGCATGTGGGGAGCAGAAGTTGGAGTCCTGTGAAAACTGTCATTTAGGGTAGGAATATTGTTGGGGATGCTATTTCCTACATTAGTCTTGTTCTTCTGAGAACCATAAACAAATTTACATCAGGTATTTTTCAAACAATTGCTCTTCTCTTAAGTGACTCATACATTTATAATTTGAGAACACTGTGAATTGTTTAATGTTTTTTATTTCTATTTTTCCCTAAGCACCAGATAAAAAGCTGAGATAAATTTCACACGCCCCCTCAAAGAAAGTACTCAGTAACTTTTATTTCTGCTATGTATTAGGAGTTGAATTGCAGTAACATGCATATTTTTGTTCTGATATGACTCTTGAGTTCATAATTCCTCACATTCATTTTTACTGCTCAATTTTTGTACTTATTTACCATGTCTTACCGTCATTATTTCACTTCTTGATTCAATAAACAAACAATAACAGTGTGCCTGTGATGTCTTGTGCATTGGGCGCTGGACCATTTTCTAGGCTCCATGATGGGTACACATAGCTTCTGTCCCCAGGTACCTTACACCTGGAAGGGAAAACATTCTCCTAAACTCATATTTACAGCACAATGTGATTAGCCTGGTGATAAAGAAACCTACGTAGTAATATTTGTCCTTATCAGAAAAAGCAACCCTTCTGCACAAATCTGAGGCTGAGTAAGATAAAGGGAACTTTAAGTATGTAAACTAGCCAAACAAAAGGTGAAAATTTCAAAGCTCTAATGAGAGAGTCAAGGAAGGTTTTTATAGAGACAAAGTCCATGTATGTAGAAAATGCCGGATTGTGAAGATGCCAGGCCTTGTCACACTGAGCCACAGATATGATGCAATCATGATGGAAATCTCAGAAATTATTTTGTGGTTATTGGCCAGCTGATTCTACAGTTTACGTGAAATAGGAAAAGAGACAGAATGGTGAATCTAATACTGAAGAAAAAGAATGTAGTTTAGGGACTGGCACTTCCCACCTGTCTCTTATCATAAAGTTTCAGCGTATTCTCCACTGTTTCCCTGACTGGAGTAGATTCTTCACCTTCCTAGGCTTTCATAGTTATGGAAGACTGTGGAAAGCCATCCATCCGCCTCCAGCGCTTTCTCCTCTGTGCAGCTCTCCATCTTCTGCGCTGTGACCTGTGGTCTCCTGCTCCCTCGGCTCTTCTTCCAGTTCCACATCATCGACTCAGGGATCTTCCTAGGTTCTTTTGTACACAGAGGCCTCAAAGCAGCAGCTGACACAATCACACAGCTCACTTGTTTTCTATCACACAAGGATCACTGTTTATCTTTAGGACCATTTTTTTAATGTATTGTGTCTGTTTTCTTTAATTTCCTCTGTGAGAACTAACCCAGGGCCTGCTATTTTCCTTTAGCTTGAAATCAGAGTCAGTAGGCTGCTTTTGAGAATAATAAAAGATGTATTAACACTCACCTCCAAACAGTAGAGTTTATCATGCTCTTCCAAAAAGCCAAATGAATGAGGATAAAAAGTGAAGGAGAAATGGTCGATATGGTTTTGCATGTCTATTTTTTTTTATTTTGTTGGTACTGGGATTTGAATTCAGAAGCTTAAGCTTGCCAGGCAGGGGCTCATGCCACTGAGCTGTATCCCCAGCCTGGTGCTCCGTAGAAGAATTCATGGCCAGAAAGGCCTGATATAGGGTGGTGGGAGTGGGAAGTAGCTATAGGGAAATCATGATTAAGTAAGAGTCAAGAAGTGAAAAGCCGAGGGTGAGGTGGACAGTGTCAGAAAGGTTTCTGAAACACTCAAAAGGAAGCTGTTACTGCTGACTATCCAAATCTCTGATGATGTGGAAAAGGAAAGAAAATCAAGAGTGAAATATGGCTAAAGCCGAGGCTGGCAGACAATGGCCCCGGACTGGCACGGGGAATGTAGGTAAATCCACTCTTATTCATTTGCACTGCCACCTGTGGCCACTTCTCTATAACAGCACAGCCACAAACCTGAAAACACAGACTAGCGGACCTCGTATAGAAAACCTTTGCCAATCCCTGCACTAGGTACTCAGCATATAACAAAAACATTATTTCTAGGCCTAAAGAGATCTCGACCCAGCAGGATATTAATAAGCCTTTGTATCACTGGATTCATAACTTAAATGAGAAGGGATTTAACTTGGCCCACCTCTGCAGGGGATTCAGTCCATGGTCAGCTGACTCGGGCAGAGACACCATTGCGGAAGGGCATGGTGGACTGAGCTGCTTAAGGTCATGGGCAGTGCTGCAGAGGACAAGGTGAGGGAGCAGACGTGGCCCCAAGTGACACTTCCGTAATGCAGAGACACCTGGAAGCCCCCTGCAATCTCCACACTGAGACAGATGACTCACTAATAATTTGAACCTAAGTAAAAACAGTTGTCATGTATTTTTATCTAATATACTGAAGGATTAAAAATAACTTCTCAAGTTAAACTGTGTGTTCACATTAGTGGCATTAAATTTAAACAGAATTAATATTGCATACAGGAGTTTGTGCAATATTAATATTATTTTTAATAGTGCAAGAAAAGTAGCCTGAGAGCTTTACTAGGTAAAATACATTTTCAATGAGAAATCTGACTGTAGACATTGAATTACACGCAATTTAGAATTTCAATAAAGAGGAGCCATAGTTTATGTGATCTGACTTTTATTTCCAAGTATATAATTTTCTGTCATATTCAATAATATCAACCAAAAAACATTGCATGACTCAATCTTTAATACTTTTCAACTCTTTTTAGGCAAAGAAGTCAAGCCCAAACTTCCACGTATGTGATATGCATGCCAAATGAATGAGTGAATGAACACACAAAAAACAAGTCTTACATGCATGCGTTACTTATCCTTTGATTCAGTGTTTAATTTTTTATTTTCAGTAAGGGACCTGTTTTGTTTCCACAATGTGCTTTTATCCCAAATATATTTCTTAGCATCTAATATGCTGAAATTTTCATTTATCTTTATTCGTTGAAGGCACAATCGAATACTGCTTCTAACCTTATTATTTAAAAAGTTGGCTTGTATTTCCATTTTTCTCAAAATAATGCTATTCTGGTTGATAATGGGGTACCTTTACTTCTTTGTTTGTATTTATTTACCATAATCATAAGTAAAAGAAATGTAATATGACAGATCCAAACACAATGAGAAATACGAAAAAGGAAGGTGAGTGAGTTTGGAAATTAACATAATTGTACAATCACTTTTGCTAATGTTTCCTATTTTTAGAGCCACAAGTGAAAAAGGAAGAGAAACCAGGTATGTATATATCATATATAAATTTATGCAAGAATTCTATATTTATAATGAATAGCATGTCTGTTTGTAATAAACCAAATTTAATATAAATTAAGCAACACATTTTAGCATTGTCCAAGTTTCAAAAAATGAAGTATGCATTATGTGCACCATCATTGCAATGAAAAACACTGACATCCATGAACTCCATGAGAAATTTATCCTGCTCAGAAGAAGCAATTGACTAATTAGTTGGCTTATACAAAAGCATAATTTTTTCCAGATTAGAGTGCAGCACAGATATTCTTTCTGAATAATAGTTGCTATGATCCTGCTTTTTTCCTAGGGTCCTTAGGTGGACACGTCTGAGAGCTGCAGTAGAATTTTTTCAAAAGGACACAAAGGAAAGTGATTCTGAAACAGTTAAAATTTTGATCTATGTGTCTTCATCATGTTAGCTTTATTATATTTTAATAAAATATCAGGGACTTACACAATACACAATTATTCTCACAATTCTGGGTTTGGACATTTGACATCGAGGTGTCAAGAGGACTTATTTCTCATGAGGCTTGCAGACGAGAAGAATCTCTCCTGTCTGCGGCTTTCACATCTTCTGGTATACCTTGGTTTGTATTGCAAGGGTATCTTCTTTTGTATCTCTCTACCTCTACATCTCTTATTTTCTGCTCATAAGTTCATTGGTCACAGTGGAATAAAGATCTGCTTCCTCCACTATGATCACATCTTAACTAATTACCTCTGCAGTGACCCTGTTTTCAAAAAAGATATCATTCCAAGATACTAGGTTTTAGGACATAAGGGTATTTTGGGGGAAAACACAATTAATTCCATGAAATTTACCTCCTCCTTTGGCAAAGTTTAGGCCTTTCACTTGCACAAAATACATTCATCCTATTTGAACATCCTTTAATTCTTAGTCATTGTAGCATCAAGTCTGAAGTATAACATTTCATTTAAACATCACCAATAAGTATAATTAGCTAAGTCATCTAAATTAGCTACTGAGGAGACTTGGGTATGACCCTACTCATACCAAAATTTATCTCTATGTGTGCATCAGTGAAGTCAGACCAATGATCTGGTTCCAAATAAAATGATAGCACAAGATGTACACTGTCGTTCCAAAAGGGGGAAAGTGGGAGAGATAAAAAGGAGAGTGGGGAAAAATTGGTGAGAAAAGAAGACAAAATGAAAACAAAACTTATGTAAATAAGGAGAGGAAGAAGGGCTTAAGGGAGGATAGAGAAAAGGGAAACAGGATTCAAGTTCTATCATGTAGAGGTGCAAATTCCCTATAATGAATGTGATCATTATGTATAACTAAAATGTATCAATACTTAATTAATTAAAAATTTTAAAAGGTGGAAAATGAGTCTAAAACAAGTACAAAAGCTATGAAATTTTGAATCCTAAGCATGCCCTCTCTTAGCAGTCTGCCTTCTGGGGCTTGCAAGGTAGGAATCCTCTCAGCTCTTGGAGGTCATAGCTGTGCCTCTCAGCTGTTTGAGGCCCATCATCCTTGACCTTTCAGTTCATGACTCTCTACATTTTGAATTTTTATTTTTCAGTTCATCTTGTCTCTGTCCCTTTCTCATTGTGCAACTATTAATTTTCTTACACAAAAATTTCAAAACCCCGTCCAGAATCCCATTCAGTACATATGGAACAAGACATTGGATCTAAAGGTCTTTATGGGTACTTTCTGGACTGATATCTCTATGCCTGTTTTCTGTGGGAATGTTTGATTGGACTCATGAGTTAGACACCTCATCTCTTTAGCAAACCTTTGTCCAACCACACTCTGGTTTGTCTCCAGGGACCACTACCTAGATAGATTAAGAATCATCCAAATCACCAAGAGCTGGTTCTGTTCCTATTAATGACTTCTTCATTTTTCCTTTCACAAGCACCAGAAAGAAATCAGGCTGCACCTTCCACACTTTACTTAGAAAATATCTCAGGCAACTGTCCAAGCTTATTAGTTTATAAACTCTGATTTTAATCAAAGGAAGAATACAACTCAGCCAGCTTCTCTACCACTTTGTAATGAATGTTAAAATACTTTTTTCCAGTGGCCAATAACATTTTTCTCATTTTCTTATGGGAGAGCAACTGAAGCCTCATTAGCTTCCACATTGTAAGTAACACCTTGGATGTTTCCTAGGCCATCACAGACACAGTGTCCTGAGCTGGGCATAATTGTTATCAAAATTCTTCCTTTCCTGTATGGTACACAAAAACAGAATGATTTCCCAAAATAAATTTGTGCTTTAGTTTATTGTTTCTGAGTAAAAAATTTCTGCCTTTTCTCCCAACCAGAACCACATGTTAAAACGGAAACAAAACCAGGTAAATATATTGTTATTTTAAATAGGGCTGGTGCTGAAGAGCCCCACCACTCCCTGCAGGATCCAAGCAGACTCCAACTTCTCATTATTTCTTCACTGTTCTGAACTCTGGTGCTAGATAAACTTCAACAGAGGCTCCAGGTCTTAGAAAAAACCTTTGTTTTTTTTTGGTTTTTTTAATATGTATGATCATGTTAAATTTGGGCCAAAGACACAAAGATGGGTGTGAAGGGAAAGGTGTCAGGAACTGTCTCACATGTACGGTGGACAAAGCACTAGCTCTGCATTTTTATTGTTGTTGTATCACTACCAAAAACCAGCAGCACACTATTATTGTTTGAGTTCATTGTCTACGTAAGAGTCCAGCAGAGCAAATTGAGAACATTAGTTATTTTTCGAAGTCTGTAAACTAATAAACGCTGCAACTTGAATTCTACCACATATCAGATCTGTTTCAAACTCTGGGTAATTGTTCTAAAAGCTTAGAACAGACCCTATCATTTTATTAAAGCTAACATTGGCCAGTTCTGTTGATATTTAATGTTTAAATTCTAGCTCTGATATCAACTAGCTGTTGACCGGAGGCAAATTTTTAAATACCCTCACACTGTTACATAAGTCACCCTTTCATTATAGAGAAAGATCTTCAGGATCAACAAATTCAAACATCCCAATCTTGATTTATGTATCACACTGCTTCACCCCTTTAATTCTCGCCAGAGCTGACATGCCATCACTCATAGCTTAACTGGTGTTGCTCTTGTAAGAAACATATTTGTAATGCAAAAAAAGGTTACAAATATCTACCTGCTACCGTGTGATTTATTTTCCTGATTACATTTATTACCTCAGGTGTGTTTTACCAGGTACTTGCATTTTTTAAAACTGGAAGTCCAATTTCATTTAAAGCTAGTTTTGTCCAGTAACTAGCTAAACTTATATTTGTTATTGTTACTACATTTTTGCTGTGTAAATAAACTTGACACATGATTTATTTATCCCTTGTAGCTTCTTCTGGAAAAACACAAATACACAGTATGTATATTTATTTAGTTTATAATTTTTAAATGAAATTTTCCACAAGAAAATATTCACAGACTTCTAAAATCATGCATTTTAACCTATAGTTTTATATTCACACTTTATTAGAGCCTGAGCTTTGCAAATTACAGATGCTTAAATATAAATAAGAATTCTTTGTATGTTGATTCATGAACCAAAATCTTTACATTTTTCACATAAAGTAAAATGACATGAAAGTTTAAAATTATTTTTGCCCCTACAAGGACAATCATTACTTTCTATTTTAGAAACCACCGGCCTAACATAATATGATTGCATACTAGTTTATAAAACTTTTAAATCCCTGAAATGATTCTCTGTTCATCATTTTCAGAACAAGACATAGCAAAACCGGAAAAGACCATTCCCCAAGGAAAACCAGGTATCTGGAGGTGGTATTTGTGGTACGGGATTATCTTTCAGGGCCCTCGTGTTAGCAGGAGAAGCAGCGCACAGTCGGCTCTGAAGGTGCTAGGAACCATTCACGTCTTGACTCGTCAGCCCCCTACTCCATCATTTTTTGCACTGAGAACCGACCCAGGCAGAGGCAGCCAGACAGCTAACAACCCCCTCCCAGCGCGGTTACCTTAGCACAACGCCAGGGCAAATGGGATCCATGTGTGGGGCAAGGTGTTCTTAACTTGGCATTCAGATGGCATCGTCTGAAGCCCCAGATCTCATGGAAACAGCTTTGTCTCTGCTCCTTTTTTCCCTTTTTCTTCACCTTTGTCCATCTTCCTTCTTTTCTCACTATTCCTCGTCTTGTCTTTCAAAGACAGTAGAGGTAAATCAGTGTGTTCTGTTTATAAAAATACAGAACCGAGCAAAATGATGTTGCTAATTAATATTTTTACAATAGAACCTTTCAGTTTTATTTTCAATAGAATTTCTTGTATTTATTAAAATGTGAATTAAGTTTGAGACTATCTTGGTCTTAGTGAACTTTCCATTGTTTATGCAATGCAGTGCATGTGATTGGAACACAATCTTTAAAACATAAAAAAATTATTTCTCCAACAAATCTTAGGAAATCTTTTCCTAACTTTTAAAATTGTTTAGAGAGGCTGTGTACATTACATTTGTGTCAGTTTGATTTGATTTGTGTATGCTTTAAAAAATATGAGGGCCAGGGGTGTAGCTCAGAGCACAGCACCTACCTGGCAGGTGTGAGGTCCTGAGTTCTATCCTTGGTACCCCAAAAATAAATAGATTAATTATAATAATAATAATAAATATGAGACACCAACAATAGAAAATAGGAGAAAAAGAAAGTTGAGGAGTATTTGGGAAGGGGAAAATAACTGTATCGACATAAGCAAAATTTTAGAAACAACTTTTAGAAACTCTTGATTTAAGTCAACACCAGCACCCTGTTATTTTTTTGCCTGCCAAGTGCTGGCCATTTTGAGGTAGAATACAAACAGAGGGAGAGCTTGGCCTTTGGGTGCACAGCAGATATATTGTCTTCCACACACACCACTTCACGCAGGTGCCACCTCCATGCTTGTCACATTCTCTGACACTCGGTCACCTTCCCTAAGATGGGTCACCAGCCAGTTCCTCCTTTGCATGAATCCCTCTGAAGTGGAGTTTTACATAGGGACACTGTGATAATGTCCTTGCACTGACATGATTCCTTTGTTTCTGAGAAGGATAAAAGGTTTTCCATATGCATAGCACCCCCATGTTTATAGCATAAGAAATTTGGGTTCTCCAGCTAACCCTGGGCTCCCTGAGATCCATCTGCATAGGAAAGTTACAAAATTGCTTATTCATATTTTAGTGTAACAGTGAAAATGGAATAGATATCTAATAAGAGAGACTTCTGTGTAGATAATTCAGCCCCATTTGTACTGAAAGGTCAAGGACAAATTAAAGAGCTAAGCCTCAATAGCAAGTGGACGGCAGAGGCGTCCTGGTTGGACAGCTTTTCTTTGTGGTCCCATTCATTTTAGGGGAAGATATTATTTTCTGTTTATTGAGAAAACTGATAAGTTTTTCTTGATGTTGCTGGTATTTCAAAACAAGTTCAAAATGTCAAAGTTACAATATGTCACCATTTTGTACTATTATATGGGAAATTCCTACTTGTGCTGACATTTTATTTTTCTGTCACAGAAGAAAAAGTTCTCAAGCAGGTAAAAGCTGTCACAGGAGAAAAAACAGGTAAATAAGGCATTTTGTTTCTTTCTTCAGTGTTTCAGTTTTATGTTATATAAAACTTCCCAAAGCATGTAGATATCTGTAACACAAATCATAAGATCCTTAATTTTTGGAAACAGTGATATATTCTGTAAGGTTTTAAATTAAAAATAATAAAAAACCAGGGTGCAGTAATAATCATATTAAAGTGTGATCAACTCAATTTGTATGTAATTCATAAGGAAATCTATATGTTGCATTAATTATCATGTATACTTATTTTCGAGCTCCATGTCTTCAAATACTAAAAGCATATATCTGAAATTTCCCCCAGTTTATAAATTATATACCCTAGTCTCCTTTTATGAGAGCTCTACAGGGTTATATAATTTTTAAAATCAGCCCTAAAATGTAAGTAGAATACATAATTCATTCCTCATTATTCATGTAAGAAAGGAAGGAGTGCACACATTTTTGTAATTGTGGCATCTTTCCTATATAAAGAAAATTTCTGTGTCTTCAACTCAGCTGACATGCTGGCCTACTAAATTCCCTAGATTTGATTCCAGAATCAAAATTCTACATACTGACCATTAAGTCTCATTTCTTACTCATAAACATTCTAAAAGGATCTGTGCAGTAATTTATTTTTTTCTTTTAATGGGAATCATCAAGATTTAAATGTAGTTTCCTAGAGGAAAATATAATTCAGGATAGGACTATTTATTCAAATTATAATTTATTGTTCCATGAAGAAAAGGAAATCCTTCCCCTCTCCCTCTCTCTTCTCCCTCTCTCCCTCTCCCCCTCTCTTCCTCTCTTCCTCTCTCTTTTTCTTCTTTCTTTTGGGGACTCACCAAGTTGCCCAGGTTGGTCTTGAACTAAAAATCCTCCCACTTCAGTTTTTAGTACACAAGTCACATGGATGAGGAGGAAGTAAATTTTAAAAGACCATTTTACATTATCTCATGCGATCGTTGCTTTTTTTTTCTTTCAACCACTATCTAAATTTATAATGTTAAATGTTCAGATTTGCTATTAAAACAGAAATACTAAATCTACTGGAAGAGAAAGAAGCTAGAAATATTGAAGACATAGGTGTAGGTAGAGAATTCATGAACAAAATCCAAACTGCATGGGAAATACTTCAATGGAGCAACTGGAATCTCAGCTTATTAAAAAGCTTTTGCACAGCAAAAGAAATCCACCAACAAAGTGAAAAGACAGCCCACAAAGTAGAAAAATTTTTTAGCCAATTGTCTCTTAGACAAAAGGTTTCTTTAGAACATATAAAGAATTGAATAAAATCAGACCACCCAAATTTAAATAATCAAATAATGAGCATCCGAGATGAATTTACACTTCTCAGATGAAGAAATATAAATGGCAAATAAATATATGAAAAAATGTTCAGCATCACTGGCCATTTGAGAGATGCAAATTATAAAAACACTGAGATTCCTTCTCACCCCAGAAAAAATGACTGCCATCAATAAATAAACTAAAAACAAATGCTCAAGAGGCTGCAGAGAAAAAGACCCTGCTCCACTGCTGGTGGGAGTGTAGACTGGTGCAACCACTGTGAAAAACTAGTGCTAGAGATTCCATTCCACCCAGATATTCCTCTTCTGTGTATCTTCTCAGAAGAATTAAAAACATCATACCACAGTGACATATGTGTACCATGTTTTTAGCAGCACAATTTGTAACAGCTAAATCTTGGAAATAACCCAAATACCCATCAACTGAGGAACAGATGGAGTACTACTTAGTCATAAAGAAAGATAAACTTGAGGCTTTTATAGGTAAATGGATGCAACTAGAGACCATACTCAGAAATGAAATAGATCAGACTCACGTGTGTAAACATCACATTGTCATCCATGTGTGAGAAATGGAAAGAGTAAACAAAGTCTAAAATGTATAATAGATGTTGTGAAATGGAAAGAAATTATTCAAAATGAACTAGAATGTGTGAAAGGGGAAAGAAAAAGGGGAAAAACGCGAGCCAGTCATATGCTTAGTGTCTCTTGGTTCATTTACAAGGAAGGTTTGTGCTAATACCAATTGGAGAAATTTGTACGCCCATATCTTGTACCCTAAGCAACTACTTTAAAGATAACACGTAATATATTAATATTGTGATTCTTGTATTATATGACATTCTGTGTTAGTTTTTTCCATTAAAAAAAGTTGAATTTTCACTCTAATGTGCTACTGTACCTTCCTGGGAACTTCACGGTCATATGGGCATTTAAGCATAATTGAAAAGCTAGCTAATGCATCTGTGTCCCAAATATTCTTGTAGATTTTTTAAGTTATATAAATTTAAGCTTTTCAGTTTTTCAATAAGAAACTTGATTAATGTATTTACTGACAATAATAGTGTTCAGAGAAAATAGTTTAAACTAAGGAGGGCACTAAAGCTAAGAATACATAAATAATATGAAAAAGTTATTTTTCTCATGGTCTGCACTTCTTAATATACCATTTATTTTTTTTACTCTCTGCTGTCAAGCCCAACCCAGCAAATGAAAGTTTTGAATTGCTTGACCATTTCAATTTTAACAATTTGTGTGATTTTCAAGAATTGCCCTTTATACTGCGCCCTATGACTAAATTGTAAAGACGGTATGCTATTGCTTTGCTTTTAAGTAGCTTTGTCTATAGCCACTAATTAATCACTGACTATATCAAAGAAATGTCTCCAAGTTGTATCCCTGTTATTGATATTAAATGAGTGACTGAATATGATGTTGGCAAAATAATCTAGTGCGTTTCGACACACACTCTAATCCTAGCATTCTGGGAGGACGAGGCAGGAAGATCATAAGTTTGAATGGAGCCTGGGCATCTTAATACCGAAGGCAGAGCTTTACTTTCAGAAATCTGTGAAAGACAAAAAGGTTCCGTGGCCTGGGAGAAGCATGAAATCTCCTGCATGTGCTGCACATGGTGGTTTAGAGGCGCACACCGTTGGCGATTGTCATACACGTGACAAAGGGGCCCAGAGCTGTGTCAGCTTGCACTGCAGATCCGTGACCCACGCACGCTGTGGCGAGAGCTTTGCTGGAGGCCAGAGGGCGCGGGTCGTCTCTGCAGCAGCTCCTGTGTGAGAAGAACTGACCAGGTCCAGGGAGAAACACTGGCGGCGAAGCCGAGGCTGGGTCAGAGGCTCCATGGTGGGGCACCAGCGTCCCGCAGCCTGTGACAGGATCTCAGGTGTCACAGGCGAGCACGCGTGGCACAGACTTCAACACACATGCTGTGTCGCTGCGGTCACTTTGATTGGTTTCCCTGCCACCTGCTGTGCTGACAACGCAGGACCACATGCTGTAACCTGGAAAGTCAGCTTCATATTGCTTTTTGCATTATTTAGCATAACACTTACACTTGAGGTCATGTGGAGCCCTGTCTCACCCCCTGGCCCACAGCTTCAGGGCTCTCTAAGGGTAGGGGTGGAGGAGGAGAGCTGGCAGAGCTGCACCTGAGCGCCTGCACCGGCCTGGCTTCTCCCCACACATGCTCTCTCCCACCAGGCTTCACTTCCAGGTCCACTTTGGAGAAGGGAAAGAGATCTCACACAGTCTGCATTTTGTGTGTTCCTCAGGGGTCTAAGGAGTGTGTCACTTACAAGTTTTGCTTTTGTGGTAACGGCCTAGAATTGGCTGAAATTCAGCAGTGAGGGTCCTTGCTGGACCTGGAAGGGCAGGGTGGCCCAGGGCAGTAATACGAGGGCTCTGCAGAGGTGGAGATGAGCGGACTGAGCTAAATTCCACGCGAGAGACCAGCACTCGGCACTGAACTGCTTCTGACAGGGCAAGGAGCAGAGCAGGAGTCAAGGCCTGACACAGAGGAGCCAGTAAAACGCCACAGGCAGGGGCTGTCTCACTTCTAGTGCCCAGGAGAGAGACTCCGCCTTCCGCCAAGGAAATCCCCTCTTTGGAGAAATCTTTTCTTTCTAAACCCCTGCTCCCCAGAGGGCTTGTTCCCCGGACACATACAGGAGAAAGATTTGACAGGGTGTTCCAGGAGGAAAACTTACCTCGATTAGGATGGCTTTCCGTGACACTATGCTTTCTGTGTTTCAAGTCCCATAAAAATAATTTAAGGTATCCCTTTGAGCCAACTGAGAACTGACTTTGCAACGAATCTACTGATGGCCAGAGAATTTTATTTCCTTTTCTAGGAAAAACTGGGCATCCACCAAAAGAACCTCCCTCCATCAAGACAGGTATTTGCTTTTGATCTTTTTGGGGTTATATTCTACTTTAATTTGTGGTTTTATTAAGTTAGAAAATGAAAGCCCACGTCGAATCGTTCTCATGCCATTTCCTACTACCGTTAGTTTCGCCGTACAATCTGATTTATCTGAATGAGGGCTGTGTGGTCATGAATCAAATATGAATTGCAAATATGCTCCTGTAATACAGCAAGGCTAACAAAGCAATTTGTTTCATGATTCCGAAAATCCTTCCACTGTGCTCTGTATTAGCTATTGTCTTTATTACTGTGATTTATCATACTGATGAATTTAACTCATTTTGAGAGTTTAAAATGACCTATTAAATTACCCAAAGCTAATTTCACTAATTGAGAATTTCAACTGCTATATTTTCTTAAAATATATGTTATTCTTTCTAGGATACCTAAATTCTTTCATAATATTCCATTTTTTAAAAAATGGGTACTACATTTCATGGTTCAAACACTGGGAGACTGACTGAAGACCTAGAAAAGTCAATCTCCTTCATATTTCTTATACTTTCCAGTGCCCATTTTAAAACTTTTAAAAATATTCAAGAGGTAATTATTGCTATTTCTTAGTGTATTATTCCAGCATCATCTATCTATCTATCTCTATCATCTATCTAATTCCTCTTTCATTTTCTAACAAAAATGTTGACAAATATCTTGAAGCTCTTAAAATGAAATTACATGAAAAATTTCCTCATTATAGTATTCTATAACACAGAGATAGGCAAACTTTTACTAGCTTTCTTTAAAGATAAGTAATAATGAGTACCTCTGCCTAGTTGTGTTGACTTGAAAAACTAACAGTTTTGCTACTTTTGCAGTCAAAATACCTTAAAGCAGAAAATTTAATGAAAAGTATATCTAATGCAATTTGCATAGATGTAACAAATTCCTTTTATAAAATGTATAGCAATTTATATCCTGCTTAATGTATTAGAATTTAATTGAACTGACTATGCAAGATTCAAATCCTTCACGATCATAATCAATATTATCTATTTTATGAATAGATAAAACATTAGGTATAAGACTACACAATTAATATTTTAGCTTCAGAAGACAAGTTACACTGGAGAAAGAAAAATATATTTATAAAATACAGTTTTAATCTACTATTGTGGGTTGAGAAATGTTTTCTCCAAATACTTGTCATGAATTATTTAATAATCTACTCTTTGTCATTCTTCATGAGATTCTATAATAACATTTTATTTATACTATATTTGGAGTGCAATTATTCAAATAATATGAATAAATTTTCAGAAAGGATAATGGCAAAAATATGTGTCCTATGGCATTCGGAACCAGTTACAAAGTTCATATTATTGCAAATATTCAGGTTATGTCAATTTAAAGGTGATATTTTGGAGGAATAAAAAGGGTACTTAAAAGTTGTATTTTTTATAGATTTGCAGAAAAACTCATTGGAAAATCTCAAATATACTCAAAAAATTCCTTATCACTGATTTTAACATACATTTAGCCTTATTTTTCAATTTTAACTATTAAAAAAGAAAAAATAGCAAATATAAAGGTTAACATATATTCCTAGACTCAAAATTGTCTCTGATTTTCTTTTTCTTTTATTTTTAGGCAAACCGAAACCAAGTTCAAGTAAGTGTATCATTTTAAGTTGTTAAGAATATTCTATTACATTATTTTGACATTATGTTTTCCTTAGGGTTTCAGACTGTCCTTTAAAATGAAGTTTAAAAGGATGATATGCTTATGACTATAACAACCTTTCTTCTGTAACCTGTGTGAGATTCTGGTTGACAGATAATACTGTGCTAATTCCATTGATTAACTCTTGAGCATGTACTTATGGGTCCATACTAGGAGTACTACTGTGTGCTGATATATGTGCTGACATATGTACAGTTGTCATGCCTGTGTAGTTAGTACTTTTATCATGCACTATTTCTGGCCCCAAACGAGCACATGTCTCAGTGTTGTCTATTTTCAGTAGTTCATTGAGATGCACTAAGTAAACACAACATGGAGAGACGTCTAATTGTCACATTGTGGGTTAAGAAATGTTCACTTCTCCAGATGTTTGTCATGAATTATTTAAAATCAACCCATTAGCTTTTTATTTTCTTAGTTTTTCAATGCTTTGAGATTCATTATCTTTGGCAATTCATAATCATTGTTTTATTTATGACATTCTAAACAATAAAGTGCACCATTAAACAATTTAATTGTTAAGTGCTATCAAAACACTACACAGACATTTTTGAAATAAAATTATGTAAATGCAATAAAGAATGAAGAGGCTGTCTTTGAAATACTTTAAATGACAAAGACTAACATGCTTTCTTAAAGTTATGACAGGTTCCTTTAAAAATGCTACTATGCAAATTCAATCCCAATCTTAAACATTAAATATTGTCCTTTCATTGGAAAATTCTGTGTCTAGTGTACTGAGTTTGTAGTATTGTTACTAATATTAAGTACATTACTAAAATTAAGCTTTTTGTGTTAAACTGCAATGCTAGCTATTTGAAAATCTTATTTTTCAGGAAAGTTATTCATTATTAAGTTTCATTATCATACTTTACTCAATGTATCTTGCTAAAGTTTTGAAAATAGCTTCCAAAAACATTGGAACACTGATAATAAATTCACTGGGTTTTCTGAAAACAATGATATTTTAAGAAAGATTTCTTACACTTTCAGGGAAGTCTTGTTTTCTATGCTTTCACTTGAACATGAGGCAAAAATTTGCTGGGTTACATTTAGAAATCTTATTTATCTATGAATTAACAAAGTGCAAGACTTGCACTGCATTCTACAAGTTAAATGCAGTGGTCATTTCGCTTGTGCACTTACCAGACTGTGGTCACCAGAAGCACAGTCCTTGTTTCATCCACACCTCACTGGGCTGCACTCAAGGCAGCATTTCAGGCTTCTTTAGTAATAGTCAGCAAGTGATTGCTGTATGCAGGTATAAAAATCCCAACTAAACATTTATGAAGCAGAATTCAATTATGTGTGACTAAGAAAACAAAACGAAGAACTTAAAATTTCTTCATTCCATCATCTATGAATAGACAGTTTGAGATTAATTCATAATATTTCTATTTTCAAAATAGCTGCCTTCTATGGTTTTCAAAATATTATCAGTATTTTTTTTTCCTTCTAAGTACCTATTGTAATAACAGGGAATCTTGGAAAATAAATTTCAATTGTTTGCTACTGAAATAAACACTATTTTATTTTTCTTCTTTTTCCCATTACTTTTTTTTCCTAAAGCAGAAACAATGGAAGTCACACAATCAGGTAAGTATTTACTATCTCACAGGAAGTAACACGGAGCTGTAAAAACACTATGTAAATTTGAATCTCTGTCTAGTTTTGTTACAGTTAGGAAATCCCTTAAGTACTCATATTGCTGGCTTTCTCTCCTACAGAATTAACTCCCACGTTATTTAATGATTAAGAGAAGTGACATGTGTCCCCTTTCCACCCATAATTTGTTATGTCATTCACAAAATATTGGTTTTTCACTGTTGTCTAAAAAGCGTGGTAAGGAAAATCATCAGTCCACTAAGCCTCTGTTTTGGAAACTATACCCACAATTTATGGGAGATAACGTGACATATGCATCGCTCTGATTCATTGTTTATTTTCTGAGCATCTACCAGAGTGGTCAAATCTTACTTGTGTCTAAAAATGGCAATTGAAATGTAGATGTTTTTCCTGTTTGTCTCAAGATTAAACGAGGTAATAAAGGTACAGCTTACTCTACTGCACTTCCAGTGTGTGAGGAGGAGAGGGTTGTGAGAGCCTGAGCCTGAACATAGACAGGGAGCGTGTCCCCAAGGAGGAGCTCCCTGCCCATCTGGAGAGAGCAGAGCCCCGACATGCATGCGCTCACAGGGCTGTCTCCTCTCCAAGTGCTTGCTGCAGTAATCCAGGTTTTAAGATGGTGACTTATTTGTTTCTCCGTAGGAAAGAAGAAAATTGAAAAACCTGAAAAGGAAAGTAAAGGTAAAGGTGACATTTTAAAATATGCACATTAAATATGCACTAGGCATAAAAGCAAAAGAAACATTTACATACGTATACAAGGTATGGCTTGAAAGCACTTTATCAAAACATGACTCTGATTTTGTAGCATGCATCAGAATTACAGCTCACCCATGCACAAGCTAAAGGCATCCCACTATCTGATTATGAAATACCTAAAGCGTAGACGAATTTAGATCTTAAAGCAAGCTCTACCGATTATTGCTAAGCTAATATCAAAGGATTCCTTTCAGAGGACACAAGCATTAAGAAGACATATTAATAAGTGTAGTTTACTGGCTGTGTGGGGTGAGGTCTACCTGGATCTCGGCACCCTCTAGGGTGAGACAGGAGTAGCACAAATTCCAGCACAGCCTTGGAAATTAACTGACTTAGTGAGGCTCTGCTAAATAGACAAACAGAAATGTATCTCAGAGTGAAGATCCTGCATTTAGTAGTCAGTACTGCAATATATATGATAATTTATAATATATATGGTAATTTATGATACATATGTATAAAATAAATTACCACCTATTCCTTACTGAAAAAGCAGAAATGAAGTAGATTCAGGAAGAAAAAAGTAATTTTTAAAACCTATTGGAAAACCATACAAAGCCCTGCAATCAAAATAGTTTTGAGTCAGAATTTCTTTGCACATCAGTAACATTGCCATCTACCTATGTGGTGGGTGGAGTAGGGATATGGCTCTCATCGCGTGTCAGAGACACAGTGACGCCCAGAGAGTGTTTACACACTTAAATTATTCCCCTGTTCCGAAGCTACAAGTGAGACAAAATTTTAATGAACTTTGCATCACAAATTAATATTTTAACTCGCATTTTCCTTTAAACAGTTCCGACAGGGAAGGAAGGCAGTCATCAGCGCAACGCAACCCGAGGTAAGCATCAGCTCCGCTCTCAGACGCTGGGCTGACGCGGAAACGCACTTAACAGAATTTTCAGTGAAAAATTAAGAAATGTAAAGAAATCGGGACTACGAAGAACGTAGACTTTCAACACTAAGCTTCTTCATTGTAAAATATTTTTGTAGCATGAATAATGACAAAATAATATGCTTCTAGGATTTTAAATGATATATATGTATATGTGGAATTTTTTATCTATGAGCAAACAAAATCCGGTTAATATCATGCATATATTCTTTACTACTTATAAGATGACACATTATATTTATTCAGCCTACCCACAAAGTTGGATAATACCAGCATGAAGTAGAGGATGGATAAAGAATGATCTATTCTGGTGATATTATCATAAACCTGACAGAATTATAAAGTCTGCGGAACATAATCTTTGGCAACTTCAATTAAATAGAACATGATTTAAATTCCATAGACATAAAGCCAAGCTATAATCACTCATGGTAAATACACAAGCTCTCCTGTTGGGGACAAAGGCCTTGTTTTACTCCTTACTGTAGTAGGTACACCTGATGGGCAAGGGGTATCCGGACACATAATCTAGCTATACAATTACTGACCATTTAAACATAATCTCAGTAATATGAAAAGGTATAATGATCAATACAGAGGCATTCACAATTTTATGATATGATATAGGGAAAATTTTGCCCTGGGTTTTGTGTGTGTGTGTGTGTGTGTGTGTGTGGGATCCAACTCACAACCTAGCGCTTGCCAGGCAGGCTTTTACTACCCCTGAGCTAAATTTCCAGGCCTCAGTGTTTAATATATTGAAGTAATAAGCAAAAAGAATGAAAAGAAACAGATTGCTGCACAGCTTTATTCATTCTTGTGATTATTTGATTCCATCCTGACTGTAGTCTGATCATCATGCCTTGCCTAATGACAAGTGAAATGGAAGGAGTGTAACATCTCATAGTCCTTACACAGTAGGGACTGGCTTCAAATCCAAACTCAAGTCCCTAGGACTACAAAGACTATTCATGATTCAGCCCATCCAATCACAATACCCTGTAGTGACATAACTGATGGATTTCTACCAATCAGAGCAGCCCAAAGATAAAATGTATCTACTCTGCCCCAAAGGGTGGTCTATTCTGGCTATAGTTGGAGGTTTCCCTACTAGATCAGTTTAGAAGGGATTCAGGCTTCCGAGAGATATTCTCTTACATTTTTCTGTGATTCTATCATTTCTGAGATCTTCATATTTTGAATACACAATAGTGAAAATTTGATACATATGAAAACACAAGCCTAACACAGAAACTAGTTGGAAGTAACCTCTCTTATTCATTCTTTTTTCAACAGTAGTTTCTTAGTATTTATTCTGTTCCCTTCTAATTCCCTGTTTTCCTAACCAATGCTAGTAGTTTTAAAAGAAATAGTAGCGTGTTTGAGTGAAGTACTTTGCCAGGTTATTGTCTGAGGAATTCTCTGTGTGAAACATGCTACCATGTTTATCACTACAAACACAAGCATCTGAATTGAAAATGTTTTCTTAGAAATTTTTCTACTGGTATAAGTTAATTTTTAAGTTGTATAGTGCTTAGGTTAGATAAGAAAATTTACAAATCACTTAGTAAGTAATGTAATAAAAATCCTTCAAAAATTATATTTTGAAGCCTGGCTCTTCAAATTTAACACATGTTGATAGAATAGATGTTGTTGATCCTTTTAAAAGAAGGTATAATGTCTACTGTAGTATTTAGAATAACATCTTAATCTGTGTCTGTCATATAAAACACATATGTTGAATAAAAAACATATTACTTGACCAAATAATAATCTCTCATAGAAATTAAAAAGTGACTTTGTATTTTGCCTTACAAATATTTTTAACTTTATAGTCTAATTGGTAGTTGTCTTTACTCATCTCTGAAAAACAAATAAGTCTCAAACATATGTTTCCATAAACTTGGAAATTTTAATGCAAGTATAGTATTTAGAACAATTATATTATACAAAATGCTTGACAAAGTTCCTCCTGATTTTATCAAGAACGTTTGTAAAGCATTTCACCTGAAATGGATGTTAGCTTTTTGATAGCTTACACATTTTCTTACATGAATGAAATTAATGGATATTCAGTGAATCATGTTCCCAGGAATAGGAACTGTATTTCTTCACCAACTCTTGATAAGGAAGATACTCAAAATACGTCCCATACTTCTATGTACTCATTGATAAATTCTGTCTTTTTGCATTTATCTTAGTGAAAATTTATTTTCTTAATGTGTTCAGAAGTTGAGCCATTACATGCTGAAGCCCCCAACAGGAGTTCGTTAGCTTTTATTCTTACTCGTGTTCTAAAGAATCCTTGAATCACTTGAAATTAAAATTCATCATCGAGATATCTTGTTCTTAAGCCTGAAAGAAACATTGCTTGCATTCAAATAAGTAAATCCTTTCGGTGAATGGAGCAAAATAATCTTGTACCTTCTTTAAACTCATGGTCACTAAGTATTTAGTACAGAGCATGTACAATAGGACAATGATATTTTAATTGCTTCTATGCATTAATGTTCCCTATTCAAAAATAATTTTAGACCTAAGAAGGATATTGGATTTTGGCATGGGTGAAATGTAATACAGCATAAACAGAAAGTCTCACACCCCAGAAGTACTCTAAAATATTTTAAATATTTAAGTACAAGTAGAAATTCTGTTTGTAGAACAAAAGTGTAAATTTTTAATTTTTTTCAGACTACTTAATAAAAACAAATTATTCTACATCAGTGCCATCCAAAACAAATATAATGTTAGCCACAAATGTAATTTCAAATTTTTAGAAGATACATTAAGTAAAAAAAAGCTGATAATTATTTTAATAATATGTTTTACCTAACTCATATACAAACTTAATTTCAATATGAAATTGATATACAAATGCACTGATGGTATAACCCTTCTCATATTGATCTTTGGAAATGGCACCTGTATTTTACACTCCGGCATCTTTGAACTGGCTCTTATCACAGTGAGTGCCCAGCTACAGCACTGGATTGGAGCACAGCTTAGTATTTACTGAGCACTATATCCAGTACTTAATTGAAGTACTGAAGGCAGTGTAAGAGAATCATTAAAATGTGATCATCGCCACATGCCTAACATTCAGATCTTTTAATTGTAAGTCCTAAGACCTCATGGCCCTCGCAGTCTTGAACAGTATTACAAGGACACTGAATGATCATCTCACTGAGGTTAACAGCAGAGTTTGTAGCCGCTCCTCTGGAAAGGCTAAAGGAAGCCACCCCCTCCGCACTCTACCTACAGTCACAGGCAGCGACAGCAGATCTCCTGGAGAACTGAATTATGCTGGGTTTGGGATGGGAAGACCAAAAGGGGTAACCACGGAAGAATTGTGTATGCAGCAAAGAAAAAGTGTAGTTGGGATTGTAGGCTGGAAGGGAGAAGGACAAGACATCCAGGGTGAGGCTGGGAGGTGGAGACCATGCAGACCCCAGGACTTCAGGGTTACTGTCCCAGAAAGCTCCCCTTTTCTTCACATCAGGCAGCAAAAACTAAAGGAACAGTTGGGACATAATAGTAGCACTAGTCACAGTAATAATACTTATACTACCACTAGTAGTAAGAGTAATAAATGCAAACAGGACATGAGGGATGAAAATAATATCATTTTCCAAGGAATATAATGGAGTAAGTGACCCAAGATGTCAGGGAATGCTGCATTTTTATAAGTTGGTTTTCTAAGTATAAAAGTATCTCTTGTTTAGCACACATTTGTCTTTGTCATCTTTTGAGGGATAATTATGAAAAATTGCCTCAAGCATTTGTCAAGTAGGAAATGCTCAGTATAAATTCGTACTAAACATTAATCTTTCCATGCAGCATGAAGTGCCTGTGCTTTTGTTGTTGGTGGTGGTAAAGATTTATGTGTGTGTGAGGGACTTCTTTGTCTGAAGGAGCCCAGTGAAACAGTGGCGCTCAGAGGCCACTGCTTCCTTCTCCCCACACTAGCTGGTGCCCTGCCAGTGCCTAATTCTTTTGGTCCTCTCACCAGAACAGGCTGGGTCTTTCTGCTCCAGCACTGGATGCAGAGATGGACCTTCTCACTCAGATTTGGGGGGCAGAGTGGAAGGGGAGTTCATGGCTGGTGAGGCATCAGTGAGAGTGGGGGGGGGCTCCTCACTCACTCTCCAGGTTCAGTCTGATTGAGAAGCTGGAAAGCATTCCCTGGAATGAAGTCCCATACACACTACAGGGATAAAACAGTGCAAACCAAGATTAGAATTAATAGCTCCTTGACATCTCTCAATTACCACTTCTCTGTGATTCACAGGATATTATGGTTCCATCTATGTAAGGTCGAGGTGGATTTATTTTTCCTGAGTAATAAATTTCTAATATCTAAACATGAGTTTATTTTCATTCTGTATGTTTCTTGTACAGTAAATATATAATAAATGGTTTACTTTCCATGGAGTTTGGAGCAAGGCCTTAGGAACAGCTGTCAGTTACAATGCATGACATTTAATGGCAGTGAGTTTAAAACTAAAAATAAGCGCAGATTTGAAATTTAAATAATGCTTCCATATCTTCCTGATATTAATATTTTAAATATTTAGGAAACCTTTGGTCTGAGGAAAAAAAACTATACAGCTTACTCTATAATATTATTCCAATAGACTTGCTCCAAGGCAAAACATGAAATAAAATGAGAAAATGGGAAAATACATTATGAAGGGGCAAAGCATGCTGAAGGGAAGGTTTTAGATACAGGCTCCAACTTGGAATATCCGATAGCAGTAGACACTGGGCACTTCAGAGGGAGGAGCACATGGAGGACATTGATGCCTTGAAATCATCCCATTGGAGGCTTAACTTAGTCATATTTTCTTGAAATATTTTTCTTTAAGATTAATAATGAGTATTTTAGTATCAGCACATAACTGAATTTGCCTGCCTGTACACAGGTGTGGGGCTATTACACAGTCTCC